AGCGTTGCGAGGCGTTTCGATGGCACCGAGGTGCGGCTGGTACGGCTATTATCTGGCGGTACTCTTTCTTGAACCAAAAATGATAGGCAAATGTACTAGCGGGATTGTCACCCACTTCGTGACCCCATCGACAGTCACGTCCACGATATTCATTTGCGTGGGACCGCTAAATCCGCCAGTGAAAACCAGGAGAAATTGACAGCAGACGGGCACCGCTCGCGGTCGTACGTTAGAAAAAACGAACAAAACACCAAGTGATGCATGGTGGCGGTTACCGCAGTGCACCGGCGCTGCGGAGTTTGTCTTCGATGTTGCACCAACTTCGCGCTGCACGACCGAGGAGCGCTGTGTACCGTCCTGGTTTCAGGGCGATTTCGTTAAGAGTTGATGGAAGATGCTATGAGCGAACGCCGTGTAGACGCGTCAGAAGCCTTAGAAGCTTCTAAAATCCTTAAGCGGCAGTAGTCAGGAGAGAAAATTGAGAGAGAGTGTGAGAGAGTGAGAACGAGGGCGTTAACCCAAGCCGTGCTGTTCCTCTCCCCATTGCGTTGCCCCTAGCGCGCATCACTCTCTCCCAGCGCTAGCGTGGGTTTCTGCGTACGAACAACGTCGGATTTCGCCCGAAAGGGGCACGAACAGATACCGACGTAAAAGTAACACAAACTTCGCACTGCGATAATACCAGTGCCTGTGGGCATGACATCTATACTTTAAAAAATGGTCCGCGAGTGCACTTCCATATGACGAGTTCGGGTGGTCAATCGTCGGCAACTTATTTCGCCAGAAAACCGGCAATAGTGTTCGACAGGTCAGTTTCCGGCCGGCGCGCACCGTTCGGGTGGTGGACCTCCGGCAAGCATAGACAATTAACGTTCCGGCCCTTTTTCCACCCGAGCTCGAAACGGCCGGGCGAGCAGGCGCCAGACTGTGTACGGTGTCGTCACTTACGAAATAGGAGAGAAGGTCAGTGAGAAAAAAAAAAATGAACGAAAGAACGAAACTGATCTGAAGTCACTTCAGCAGCCACTGCTCGAGTCAATCCGAGCTGTTGGGACATGGGTGACGGCGGCGAAAGCCTCTCGCGCGGTGTCGCGCGGTCTAGAGGCGAAGTAAACTACCACCGTCTGGCTTTTCGTATTCGGGTGCTGAGAGTCACGTGGTGTGTCGCCGGCGCGTTTCTGGTTGCCGGTTCCGCCGGCTCGGTCTCGCCGGCGACTGACCACCCGAATTCGCCATCAGAGAACACGGGACAGTCAAACAATACCAGTATCCCAAGGAATGACGAAGCTCAAAGTAGATTTAGAGACAAATATTCTACGTGCACAGGGACCATTAAATCAGCCATGACGTTTCGCTTACTCACAGTTTCTGCGCAAATTGCATTTTAGATGTATTCGTAATCTCGGCTTCTTTATTTGCTGGAATTCTGGAATTGTTTGCCGCGATTGGGAAGCAGGGAAGTGAACTAATGGAGCTTTTTTTAGAGTGTAGCTAGAAGAACCCGTCCGGGTTTCGCGGAGTCCGAAGTTCGTCTTAGAAGGGTTTCACTTCCTCCATCGACACAGAAGTTGATGGGACATGGAGGAAGCGCGGGGGTTGCTGCCGCAGACACGAGGGGTCAAAGAAACCGGCGTCTCGTCGACCCCGAAAGCAGGCTCCGCGTCATGGGAGCTGCCACCGCGTTCCCACGTTACACAATGCGCCGTTCCATTTCCTAGCTGGGTGAGAGGACCGCAAGCACCGGCCTGCGTGGCTAATAATAGGGGCGACTCTCGGGAGGGACCGCGCTGCCCGTCGCAACAACTGACGAGCCGCACCCTTCGATGCGTTTTTAGGGGCGAACTGGACGTTGCCGCCCGTCACCCGCGTGGTTCATAACTAGTACGGACACTGGTGACCCGCGGCCGCCGTGCATCTAGGGAACTTTAGACTTTCTGCACGTGCGAAAACCTCGCTGGAGCTCTGCACGTGTAGAGCATGAGGCGGCACGAGCCCTCGCATGCACGGCCGTCTGCTTCCTGTAAACTATTGCTATGGCGGCGTCACGCATGCACCGAACGCTTAGTAAGATCGATCTATTTCTCGTTCTGCGATTGGACATGCCAAACAGAATTTCTATTTGCTATGATACGAAGGACTGAATTTAGCCTTTCATAACGCTCCAATTGATGCAGTCCGATGTTTATATGTACCAGTATACTTTTTACAGAGCAGCGCTCTCTGAAAGAAGCACTGCAATGAAAATAAAGTGTTTCTTTTCTAAAGGGAAACGTATATTTTAAAACATTAGCACAAAAAATAAAACAAATTTGAGCAATATTTCCGCCGCTAGACGAAATTTAGGGGCAGAATGTGGAGTTCGCAGTTCGCTAAGCCCCGCCCCGTACTTACAAGGTACTTACATCTCGCATTGGCTGGAGAGACGAATGGCGTGCGAAAGGTTTGTTGTAAATTTGCATCTCCGTGCCGTAATAGTATCTTAAGCGACTTCTTTATGTTTGTGAAACAAATAATCTAGATATAGTCATAATTGTTTTCAAAAATATCCCGAGATTGACTTTCCGCTTCGGTTTCAAACGAGCACAAATACACTCTAAAAAATGTCTGTGCGTCTACTTTCACGCACAACACTCGAAAGCCAAACATCGCAACTTACGGAGGCAGCTCAGCGAATGACGATGCCGAAACATATGTTTAGACCAAAAAACGCAGTCTGAGTTGTGACATTAAGCAATTCAAAACGTCACGCTTGCATTGCTTAATGTCACAACTCAGACTGCGCTTTTTGGTTTAAACATATATGTTTCGGCATCGTCATTCGCTGAGCTGCCTCCGTAAGTTGCGGTGATTGGCTCTCCGGGTGTTGTGCGAGAAAGCAGACGCACGGGCTTTTTTTGGAGTGTATGACTGCCGGCGTCTGCAGAGTGCTCAACGACCGTGGCTCGTTGAGCTCGTCAATTTTTAGGAGTGCGGGTAGTTTTGAGCTGACAGATATGTTTCGAGGAAGATCTCATCAACCGACATAGTTGGCAGTAAACAACTGTGGCAAGTAGGCGCCTCTGGAAGCGCTGCGGGGAGGCTTCACTCTAAAAAATGCCTGCCCCTCTCTACTTACCGGCTAACCAATTGAAGAGCCAATCTCTGCGATCAACCAAATCAGCTCAGCGAATGATGTGGCGGAACATCTGTTTAGACCTAAAAATGAAGTTCCGCTGTGGCATTACGCAATGCAAGCATGACGCTTTGCATTGCGTAATGCCACAGCGCAGACTTAATTTTCAGGTCTAAACGGATGTTCCGCCTCATCATTCGCTGAGCAGATTTCATAGATCGCAGAGATTGGCTCTTTGAGTGTTTTGCGCGTAAGTAGACGCGCAGGCATTTCTTAGAGTGCGCTGACAGATGCTTGCATAGGACCGTCGCTGACGCATGATGGAACGCTAGAACGCCGCTTTCATGGTCGGGTCTTGCGAGCGTTGTAAAAGTGTTTAGACGGGGGCGAAATAGCAGACAGTCGACGGTGAAAACGGACGCCGACGGGCAGCGTTCATGTCCGCGTCCTTCAGGCGTGACAGACGACGATAGACGGTGGTGAAATTAGTAGACGATGCCAGAAGCTGCCGCGCGTTCGTCGCTTTCAGCGCGTCAGTTACCCGAGCCGCCACCAGTCGGCGCGCTCCCCAGGCCGTTATTATAGAGTTCCTGTTTAGACTCCCGCGTAGGGAGCGTATACAGGAACTCTAGACGCCACTGTCGGCCTGTATCTCCGCATGCGCCTGCACTCCGGTTACCCCGCTTGCGGGTGTTTGTATCACCATGAGCGACCGCAGTGGGACGCGTAAACGGCGACCAACAGGAAGACGGGTTCTGTAGTGGGTTTCAAGAATTGCAGGGGCGAAATTGAGGTCTGGAGCCACACTGTGTGCACTGAACATGCCCCACTGAAGGGTATGGACTGTCCGTGCGTGGTGCCATTTTCAATGCACTTTTTCCTACTAAATCACCCGGGCAGAGCATCTTTAAGACGGGTGTGGCAGCACTTACTCTGGGGCCGCGCTCGCAAATTAACGAGTGCTCGTTCGCGCAAGACTTTCTGCCCAAGGCATAGGTTGAGTGCTGTAACTCATTGCGATGAACTCGACATCGAACACGGTATGTTTCTGATAAGCGACGAGGCGCCGCGCCAAAGACCGCATTCGAGGGACTCCCGGGCAACGAGCGAAAATTACTATATGTACTCGTTTTCACCTAAAGAAAAAAACGTGGGTGTGTCCCTCTCGTCGCATGCTTATTGGTCGCATGCCGTCGCACATATTATTCCGTTCTGCGAAGTAGTTCCGATAAACGTTTGCTCTCTGGGAAGCTAGCGTTATTTAAGCTTAAATAAATTTGTTATTCTCAGTAGGATAAATAATACACCTCCTTAGTACGCGTGTATTCACGTAATTCAACGCCTCACAAGATCTGAGGATCGATGTTCGTAGCCAGCCGGCCAGCCGCTGTTGCTCGCCTTCCAAAATGGCGACTTCAACAACTCTGGCTGATCGGTCCGTGATGTCAGCACTCTTTCGTGAAGACGTTTCTCCTCGGGTGTACTACAAACGTCACGCAAGTGGAAATGTCCTGTCGAGCCAGACAAGGCACTGTGTTTTGAACGTTTATTCTTGGATGCGGCGGCAGTACCAAGAAAAAATGTGGTGGAACCTGACTGACCGCCGCAACGGGGATCAGTGTGAGCTCGTTCTACGAGATCAAGCGTGGCTTCAAACGTGTCAACGGAGCTGTGAAATCTCCTTCAAAGAAGCGCCCAAAATTTTTCTGAGAAAAGGAAGAGGATTTTAAATCACGACGCGTGCACTTTGACGGCCGTGAGAAGCTGCCTGTACAATTTCTTCCGTCGGGGGGAGATTCGAACGTTGAAGAAAATCGCCGCTCGTTTCCAAGAAGACGACGTGCTGCCGTCCTGTTCCGAGTCTACCCTGTATCGCCTGCTGAAGGACATGGGTTTCGAGAAACAGAGACGGAATCGCAACTCCTTCCTAATTGAGAGAGAGGACATCGTCGAGTGGAGGCGGCGGTATTTGAGGGAAATCGGAAAGCACAGAGCCCAGAACCGCAAGATCTACTTCCAGGACGAGACTTGGGTGAACGCCGGCCTTACAGTTCACAAGGTGTGTACTGACAGCACCATAAAGTCAGCAAGGCAAGCCTTCATGTCTGGACTGACGACCGGGCTAAAGGTTCTTTCTGGAAAAGGTGAAAGAGTGATTGTCACCCACGCAGGTAGTGACACTGGGTTCGTGTCCGGCTGCCTGGACGTGTTCCGTGGGAAGAAAAAGGGGGACTACTACGATGAAATGAACTCGAACAGGTTTGAAGCATGGTTTCTTCATCTGCTGGACCACATCGAGCCTAACAGAGTAATTGTTATAGACAACGCGCCATACCACAGCAGAAAGGCTGAAGCGGTTCCCACAACTGCAACAAAGAAGGGCGAGATCCAGCAGTGGCTCTCTTCCAAGAACCTAGACTGGACTGCCACAATGAAGAAAAAAGACCTTCTGAGCATCGTGGCAACGGTGAAGGATAGCTACACAAAGTACGAAGTTGACGTCATGGCTACGGACGCCGGACACACAGTGTTGAGGCTCCTACCTTACCATTGCGAACTAAATCCCATAGAGTTGATATGGGCACGAGTCAAGCAGAAGTACGCCTCCAAGAATATTACATTCAATCCCAATGACGCCGAGCGCCTCTTGAGGGAAGCAGTGGACAACGTATAACAGCTGGCCATTGGCATGACTGTGTAGAGCATGTGAAAAAAATGGAGGCGAAGTTTAGAGAATGTAATGTCCCAGAGTAGAACCTCGAGCCAGTCATCATACCCCTCGATGCAAGCGACACGGAGGAGGAGAGTGGAGACGACGACGAAGCTGACGACGAGGATGAGAATGAAGAGATCTTCGGTGTTCAGCCTTTAGAATGGAATTGACCGTGAACTAATGTCCCCCTAGGATATGTTCTCTTCTGAAAGTACACTGTTTGTCATACCCCAGAACACAGAGCGGTCCTTTTAAGGACCATTCACATACTGCAAAATCGGATTCCCGACTTCATACACGCCTAACCTCCAGTGTCATGTTGTTGTCGTGATTCTACCTTTCATTACGTAATAGCCTTGTTCATGGATTCTCGAGGTCTTTGAAATCAGCTGTATGTATCCCACTGCACCGCGGATAACCATTACAAAGATTCGCCCTAAAAAAAAAAAAGTTTGCAGTTGTACTGCACTCGCTAATTTGCCCACCTACAGCAGAGGTGTCAGGCGCCATTTTGCCTTTTTGCTTGCTAAACATATATGCGTACAATTACACTTTAAGGGTCGTTTTCATTCAAGAAAGAAGACGTAGTGTTGGGCGGCATGCCGAAAGTGGACCATTGTTCTGAAATGTTACCCTGACCGTAACATTTCCCTTGCTCACCTCATGCGAATTCAGTGTCGCTTACACCTCATTTTGAGGTCTAAACATCATGTTCAGCCCAGTCATTCATTGAGAATGAGATAGCTCCTCTATTGCAGTGATCCGTTCCCCAGGCGGTTTGTGGGAAAGTAAACTCACAAACTGCCATCCACATGCCTTGGGGTCGCTCTGGCAATAAACGTATCTCTCATCCACCATGCTGTTTCAAATTATAATTGCGATTCTTATCGCCATCCTCACACAGGGCCACTCGGGCAACAAGCGGAAGCTTTGATGGGATCCTGGAAGAACGAATCTCACAGCAACCACGTTGTTTCTGCTTATAATCAGGATTTGTACCACCATCCCCACACCACGGAACTTAAGAAAACAGAATTAAAGAATAAAAATTGAAAATCATCGCGACACACAAGAAAACCGACTGCCCACTGAATATATGCACATGAACCTCAACGCAATAACGTAAACAAAGGTATATTAGGACAAAATGAACTATGCAAACATAGGTTAGTGGCTGGTAGCAGGTCAGATCAATCCCAGTTCATCAAGTTTGCGGCGATGTCGATGATCTCAGCTGATCTTTTTGCTTTAGCGCTCCATGGTTGCCGTTAAGAACTATAAATACGCTAAAACTGGCACACATTCATTTTTTTTCTCATGGTGTTTTTAGAAAGCCGACGGTATAAACAATGTTAGATATACAAAGATATGTTTATTGAAGACAGTTTAAAGAAGCGATGCAAAACTGTGCAGAGCATAAGCATGTTTATCTGAAACAAACGCTATTTAACGAGGTATGTTCTAGCTTTTTGCCACTAGATGATGCTGCAGTGCTAAATTCGTTTTGGTTTCGGTCTCTAATTGTAGATCCCACCAACACCCGACGGAGAGTGGTGAAGTCTACGGGATATCGCGGCATTTCATGGTGGAAACCCAGAACACTCCGCCACCAGCCGGACTTGTTTTACTTCGGTTCTTAAGGTGAAAACGAGTATAGGAATTCACTACATCGGAGTGGTGCGACGAACAACAGCAAGCAATCCGCCACAACGACGATCGAGCCCGTCGGTGATCGCCAAGTTTTTCGCTCGCCAAATCGCCTACCTGATTAAAGTGGCCACATGCAGGGAGAAACAAGACCGCGACGAGTAAAGTAAAAAGTATGCACGCACAGCGATGCCTAAGATTACGATAGCCTTGCTGCGTCAACTCAATTTTTTGCAGAAGTCGCACTGGGTTACAACTAGCTTTACTTCCGCCAAAAACGTAACAAATGTGACAAACTCACATGGTGTCTGAAGTCTATAGGTCATAACGTTGCGTCGTCGATCCATTCACAGTCCGATTCCATCGTGTATAACACCCCGGCGGTGGCTGGCGAAGCGTAGTAAGCAGTGCAATACGTAGTGCAGCAGCGGGAAAGTAGTGGCCAGCAATAGTGGACGGGTCATGTGACTCCAAGATGACGGCGCTCATGCGAAGTTTCCTGAAAGCGTCTATAGCAGGCGTTGTCAGATGCCAGACTAAACGCGCCGGATGTCTGGAAAGGGAGTCACCAGGCTTGTTAGCACGTTCGGCCGAGCAGCCAAGTCAATCCAGTAGTAACGGGCGGGGCGACTGATTTCTGGGCGGGGCTTAGAGAGCAGGCCGTGATCGTCATGTAAATTTTATTTAACGGCGCATATATTGCGCGGAAATATTTCTCTTCTTGTGGAAACATGACAAAAAAAAGTGTCCCATCTATGTTCTTTAAAAATACTTTTTTTTCGTTGCAGTTTTCCTTTAAGTTGCGGCAACACCGCTACTACATATCATACAAACGACAGTGTGCAGCCACTGTCTGAGGCCTTTTTTATATGGCACTGGTCAGACACAAACTGTCTGCAGAAATGTTCGAAGCATACATGAAGGAAACGTGCTTCCCACATGCTTGAAGCATGACCGAAGATAATTCTGTCGTCCTGTCTGCAGCGAACACCTTGTGCTTCGTATAAGAGCCGCGTGACTGCGACTTTACGATTCAGTGGTAGGCAATCTGAAGGATATGCGTGCTAAGAGGGGACCTTTAGGAAACCGTTACCATGTTCCGCGTAGCCTTTGAAGCATGCGTTTGAGCTCGGGTGATACCGTGACCACGAAAGGCTCCGGTAGTGCGGTACGCGGAGCACGGTAACGGTTTGCTAAAAGTCCCCAGTGTCGTAGCGTCCACTGTAGGACGGGACCATCGACTCTCACCCCTGCAGTTTTCGTAAAAATACATTCAAAAGAAAAAAAAAAAAAGAATCGAGGGGTGGCGGGAGATACTCCCTACGATTGGTGCCGGTATCTCCATGGAGATATCTGCACCGATCGATCGTAGAGTCGTTTTTTACACTGCATGACGGTGACGGTACAAGCGGATATTTTGGCCGACATATCTCGGCGCTGCTTCGTTGCTATCAGTCACGTGGGCGGTTTCGATTTGATTTCATCAGACCCGTCCTTACATCTTTGCCATTGCTCCTGTATGGGACAATGCGTGCCGACTCCCGCCCACCAGCCTCGTTGCCACCATTAGCATGACAACCTTTCTTTCCCGAGATTTATTTAATTTTTTTCTCGCGCTTTTTTCCCTCCATTAACAAGCCTGATCCGGGCTACTATCCGTTGCTCAATTCTGGCGTCCACGAACATCTGCGCCGGGCCGTGGCATCCTTTCACCGAACAGAGCTGCCTGGACATGAGACAAGCAGCAGAAAAAGAAAAGGAGAAAAAAAGGAGAGAGACAACATAGAAACGCAGCCGACGCTCGTTTTGACCGGGTAACAAGGGCCGCAGAATGAGGTGGTCGGACCAGCAGGGCGCGGGGGCGGCGTCTACGAAACACTGCGCCGGCACATGGCAGCTCTGCACGGCCACGGCTGTCACAGTTGCCGCAAGCCGTTGCGACAGCGCCATGAACGAGCCACGCTCACATCGGCCCCGTTCCTCTGTCTCCACCGCGAACGCCCCGAAAGTCAAGGGCGGTCACGATAAAAATTAAAAACAAAAAAGTGGAAAAAAAGCGAGACGAACGCGCGGAATGCGAGTCGGACAGAATGGCTCACAACTTTCTCTAAGGCGTCTTTCCTCATCTCCACCCGCGTCGTCGCCGAGTCGCGACCGACGACGACACATAAGAGTAAGCCGCTCGAAATGTAACGAGGAGGCTCGGTTGCGCTTTGGAAGCGCCGGCGTCAAGAATCGCATTCTTTTTTTTTTCGATCTTTGATCCGATACGCGATGACCTAAAACGCGGCACGCGTGTATGGGACGCGGCTCCGAGGATATATAAGACTAAATAATAAGAAAAACAAAGGAGTCTACGTATACTCAAGTTAGCCTGCTCGCTCGCGATCGCTCCCGTCACTAAGTTGCCTCTGTGCTCGAATGTTTCGCGGTGCCGTTTCCCAAAGTCGACGACTTCGTGGTACGCATTATATTGCTTACACCACGAAGTCGTCGTAAGAAAGAGATATAGTAGCTTCATTCGATTTACTTGCACCTCCTACACTGGTGCAGAAAAGTGTAAAGCAGTCTACTCCTGGTATGTGTATTGAGGTACGATCGGAATTACACCGCCCTACACTTTTCTGCACCGGTGCAGGAGGTGCAGGTAAATCGATCGAAGCTACTCTCTCAATAGCCTGCGTCTCTTCTTTCTTTTTCTTTTTCGCGTGTTTGGTTGTTTTTACCAGCACGGGGCCTTCACTTTTTTATTATTTTTACTGAGAGGTAGGAAGAAAACGAGCCCGCTACTTCCGAGTGCCGCTAGGTTTGAGTCCTGGCTTTACACTTGCGAAAGAAGCATACACACCGTTCCAGGGCTTATCACCTGGCCGTAAAATGCTGAGTCTCTGAGCAGTGGACGCATGCGCAGCGTCTTATGTACCGCGTTGGTCTGTTGCGTCGTACCCCGCAGCTCTCTGTGCATTGACCACTTCCCTAAATCCGTTACCGCGCGCATTGCATTCTGGGAACCTGTGGGCCATATTTTGCTTCCCAGTGATTCCCGGGATGCGTAACGTGGCATTACGCTGCGATGAGGCGCTTCGAGTTTTGGACTGAGTCTATCGCAAGAAGGTGGTCCTTCTGCTTGCATGGCTTTGCCGATGAGGCAAGCACGTGCGATTTCAGTCTCGCTAAAGTCACTTTCACGTGCATGCCGCAAAATGAATGCCAGGCGGGACGCCATGCTTGCGAACTGAAATCACTGTTTTCCGAACTGATGATACCTTCAAATGTATTCGTTTAAATTTAGACGTCCGTCGGAACTTCATTGG